AGATTCAATGTATCTGGTTAGAGATACAAAAAGATATCGCCAAATATATATATATTACAAAGTACTTTTTCTGTTTCATTTTTACTTGGCCATTATACGGAAAAAAAAATCACTTGTCCAATTTAGCAAACTAATTTTAATGCACGTGCTTTGCACGTGCACGTGAATATCAAAATCATATAGAATATTTTATTTTATTTTTAAAAATCAATATTATTAAAACAAAAATTTTAAGTAAATGGTTGTAAATGTAATAGAAGAGTATAATTTTTTGTGAATAATGGAGGTAAACTTTCTTATAATTAGTAATTGTTTGTATATTGAAAAGCTATGAAATCAATATCGGAAAACATCTGTATCTCCATGATATAAAGTTATATACAAATAAGGTGATGTAGCACCTTTGTTTGACCTCCAATTACATGTATTTTTTTTTTTAAATCTCATTTTAAAATTAATTATGACAAGTAAAAAAATAAACTCTTAAAATCTCGTAATTACACCTTTTAAATGTATATCTTCTTCTCCCTCCCTATAATTCATTGCTTAGTTATTGTTGTATTATTAGAGTTTATATTTTTTGATATAACATAAATAAATAAATATAAATTTAAAATGTACAAGATATACTAAATTTGGTGTTTTTAGTTAGGGAGATTATAACTTTGGCACATAAGATAGTAATTATTAAAGCAATGCATTCAACTTGCTAATGTATTTCAATTTTTGTTTGTATTTGAGAGTATATTTTAAAGACCATTACAATCTTATATATATTGTTCTTAAAAAAGTTTTATTACTTGTCAACTTAGCTTCCTAATTGTAGTTCATGTATATGTACATTATATGTTTACATAGTATGAAAAATAGTATACTGATAAAATATAATAAACGGTTAGAGATGTTTCGTTTTAAATTGAAAGATACATGATTGACATGCGATACTATCAATTTACATTAAACAAATTATTATAATATATTTCTATCTGCTTCAGCTTATATGTGACATACTATACATAAATCATTTAATGTTCAAATACTGAAATAAATAATGCTTATAGTTGAACTAAATTCTGAATATGTGCATATATTCTATGCGGATATATTATGTCGCTTAGTACGATTAATTGAACTTAAACTAACACAATTTTAATCATATTTATTCATTTATTTTTTGTTATATATTATAATTACATTCCTAACAAAAAATTATATCAAAATAATCAAATTTGGCATACTGAATTCAACAATAAGAATAAAATAGGGAATATATATATATATATATTTTAAAAGAAATTAAATGAAAACTTGAAAAATTCTATGTATACTAACATATATCATCATTAATCATTTAGTAAATAAATTAAAATTAAATGACTCAAATTAGCACGTAATTGTTGAAGCTGAAAAAATAGGCATAATATAACGAATAAAAGATTAACTAAAAGGTAAAATAAATAGCAATATCAATAAATCGGATCAATTTATATTCAATACATTTGACAAGGATCGCAAACTAAAAAAAATATAACATGGTCAATGGAGATTATCAAGTGAAGACGTAAGGAAATAACGAATAGCAATTAAAAATGGAGGGAGCGGGGGATATCAAGATTGGTCACATAAAGCTTACAGTTTGGCTACAAAATTTAGTATCGCATCGTGACGGAAATCATAAAAAATATAGAATTAAAAAAAAAAGTTCCCATAAAATATGAAAATATATTTTTTTTTTTAAAACTTACTGAGTGATGATGATATAGAGATGATGCGAACTTGGTCACTGATTATTTTCTAGGATGAAAAAGGGGGGAGAAATGAGGACGAGCAACACTACTTGTTGTGAGATTCAGCAATAAAAAGTTTTAAAACAATTATTTCTTACCGAGTAAGATTCAATGAATCTGGTTAGGAATACAAAAAGATATCGCCAAATTTAAATATTACAAAGTACTCCCTCAGTTTCAGTTTATTGGTCCTTATACTTTTTTTTTTACTAGTTCATTTTAACAAACTAGTTTTATTGCACGTGCGTTGCACATGAATGTTAAATTATGTAGCATACTACTTTTTAAAATAATATTAATATTATTAAACAAAAAATTTAAATAACCGAATTTAAATATATCCAAAGTTGTGAATAACATGTCCAATTAGTCTAGAAAAATTTATCCCATAATTTTAGAATTTCTTGAGTCAAAATCAATCTTGATCAACTCCCACCCCTTATTAGATCAACAGTTTGAAATTTGAAATTGATTGCATAATTGTGTTACTTATAAGCTATGTGGTCCAATTCGATAATCGAAATTAGATTTTGATATCATTTGCTAGGTCAAATTAATAATTTTTCAATTCTATATTTATAAGGTCTAAACCTAATCCCTTAAAATTACTAGTTTTCATGATCCAAATCCTACCAAAAAGTGTATAATCTCATTAAATGTTTAGAGAATTAGTACCTAGAATATTAGATTGAAATTTCAACAATTTGAATTTAAAATCGAGAGCATTTCCCCAAAATTTTATTAAATGGATATTTTTTTTATATATACTTATGAAACTTGATATTTTAATATTAACTGTATCGTCGCAATTGAGGAACCTACATCACAATTGTAAGGACGCAAATATGAAAAAAACAGCACATGCAAAACCTTAGCTAGTCCGTCACCTCTACTTTTGTGACTTGGACTCTCACAATAGCAGAAAGTTAGCATTGACTGACTTTCGCCTTTGTGGAGGCTAGGTCTGGTGCCCCTCTTTACAAGTGCGACCCTCTAGGCCACACTGTGATACACCAACTGATAGAAATTTCAATATCTGTGTTGAAAATTTTACTAAAGTCTCAAATAATCATCATATTATTATCATATTTATTTATATATTACTAAAAGTGGAAAGAATTCAAGTTAAAAGTTGAATTGTACCATTTCATCCATTTTTTGTTGTTGAAAAAAATTCAACTATATATTCTACTTTAATATTGCACTAAAATGTAAAAATGCTCATAATTATGATTCAAGTATAGATAGACTCTTTATTTCCTAGTATGATGCTTCTTTAATTAAAACTGCTTTCGGCCTTATTCAAGATCATTTGTTTGTGAGGAAATTGATGAAGACCAAAAGTCACAATAATAAAGTAGGAATTTGATGGGTCATTTTTATTTATGCTATTTTTTTTTTTGATAATCTAATTCTTTTCATCTTCCCTTATCTAAGATCCCCTATTTAAAGTCACCAAGAAGAGCAACTAAATTTGCAAATCCTGTTTAATCTTTTTTTTTAATTGGTTATACCAAAATTTTCTCTTTTTTTTTTTTTTTTTGTTTTATCGTTGTTTAGCTCCCTTCGTAGCTATAGACCGGCTAGGGACAGAAAAAGAGAATACCATTGATCTTTTTAGAACTATTAGGAACAGTAGCATTAGTGTTGCATTTGAATCGAAGACGTCATCATATGTGAGAATATTGATAATAAAGAGGGAACGTTTGAAAGGAAATTTATTTTTATCATTATGTATGAAGTAGAATGAAATAAAAAGACATCTATATTTGTTTATATAATGTTAGTTTTATACTTTACTAGTTTATATTATAAATTATAATTGATGTCGATTTAGGAGACATATCTCCCAGAGATGTTTGAAAATGCTCCAAAGATCGAGATTTTGGTATTATTTTATGTGAAGTGTTGATAATCATAATTTTTTGAAAGTAATTTTATATAGGTAAAAAACTTAAATTCATTTTAAATGTACTTTATTAATATTTTCTTTCTTTCATCCTTTTTCTCACTAATATGGGATAGGCTACATATACATGTACTTAAAGAAAGTAGCTATATATCTGCATATCTACTGACATGACATGGGTGTGTAGAGGATAAGTTATATCGATATATTTAGACCATTAAAGTTATATTTAATTTTAATTATTTCACATATATTTTGCTTAATAGACAATGCGCACACTCCTAAAAACTAGTAATATGCACAAAGTATCAAAACATGTTTTAAGACATAAATGCTCAAAAAGGGTGGGTTATATTAAACTACACCAAAATTTATAGTTGGCAAGTGTGCACAAAATCAATGAGTATGATAATTGGTTTTCATAGGCCTTCAACAAAGGGTTTAGAACCCAAAATTACATGCAGAAGATAATATATATGTTAAAATTTCAATAAATATTAGATTTAATCACATAAATTTAAATATATAGTAATTAGTATAAGAAAAATATTGCTTTTAGAAAAAGAATAAATCGTAACACATGGTTGAGTTGGAATTGTAAAGACATTGGTTCATACTTACTCCAACTCGAGAAAAAATTGAAGAATCATCCCCAACATGACTTGGACCGATATTGCCTCAACACGATCAAGGTTGCTCTATAATCGAGTAACCTACATGACCCTTCCTTGGAGACAAATCACTTTACAATTGCATCACTCTCATAATGATCCTTAGACATATCAACAATCTGTCTTGAGCCTAACGTCAACTCGTCCTCAAATAGCCTCGAACCCAAACATCAAAGTGCAAACATGTACATATACTATTAGGTAGTCTTTTTTAGTGCCAGCGTGTAGTTATTTCATAATTAGACGAAAGATTGAATTTTTGACATATAAAAAAACCCTCTCCAAAAAAGAACTTTCTCGAACAACATTTCATCTAGAGTTTTAATCAGAGAAGACTCTCGACCTTCTTTTTTTTCCTCATATTTTTCATTTTCTTTAAACAGTTTACATTCTGTTTTTAATTTCTTCTTTAGAACTTAGGCAACAACAAAAAAAAAAAAAAAAAATTTAATCCACCCACTCTTTACTAATTTTATTGTTAATTATATATCAAGTTGAAATTGTAAAGAACACAGTTAACATGTTTCAAATTAGTATTACTTTTAAAATGCTAATGACCCATGGGTAATAGGAGTAATACAAAATTTAGAAAAGGACGCAAGTAAACAAAGAGGGAAACAGTAAGTCAATAATAATTTATGGAAGTCAACTTTCCAAAATGCAAAGTCTTAATTTTATAAGCAAACAAACTGTCTACACCCCACACATTTTGCGCATAATTTTTTTTCTTCTCCAAAAAATCAATCGTAAAAAGAGAGAGAAAGGAAAACAATATGGTTGATGTGGTGGTTGATGTGGTGGTGGAAATTCTGTTAGAGAACTTGAAGAAATTGGTGATGGAGAATGTGGAGTTAATCGGAGGAATTAAAAATGAAATCGAGAATCTGTGTGATGATTTGAGTGAATTCAATGCCTTTCTCAAGCAAGCTGCAATGGTCCGCAGCGAAAACCCAGTTCTGAAAGAATTAGTGAGGAGTATCAGGAAAGTGGTGAATCGTACTGAAGATGCTATTGATAAGTTTGTAATAGAAGCTAAGGTTCATAAGGACAAAGTGTTTAAAGGGGTTTTCAACATACCTGTACATTATAAAAGAGTGAGGGACGTCGCTGTGGAGATTAAAGATATCAGAGATAAAATGAGAGAAATTCGGCAAAATAAGGCACATGGCCTTCAGGCACTTCAAGATCATGATGATTCAATCAGCAGAGGTGGAGAAGAGAGACAGGTATTACTTCAAGTCCTTAATTTCGACAAAATTCGCTCATGAAAATATAAGGATCCGATCAACACGCCCATATTTGTGTGTGGGTTTATTTATTAATTTGATCCGACAAATTCAGATCATCTAAAAGTTGAAACCAAATTGACCATGAGAAACCTTATCAGTTTTTGTTTGATATGTTATATATAGCTAAATTAATCAAGAATTTTTTATTAGATACTTAAAGAAATTAAAACTTAGTAAGTATGAGAGAACTTACCTGTTCGGTATCAAAAATTTTGAGCATTTAACTCAAAACCTTGAGGCAATGAGTGGAGTAGTATCCTTAGTGGCAAAGGGTGAATTCAACCGAACTCAATAGCTTTTGTTTAAACTGTGTATTCATATTGAATATACCATTAAATATATGTGCATATTAAATTAGTTACCCCTTGTTAGCCATTTGAAGTTCCCTTTTTAAAATCTAGAATACATAAAGTTGAAATCTTCCTTTAGCCTGAGTCTCTCAAAAAGAATGAAGGTGAGTGAGCATAGACGACAATGTAGTGCTTAAAGATAGACAATTCAGACATGCTCTGCAAGTACTTTGAGACAGGAAGATACCTAACAAAGTAAAAGAAAAGTTCATAGAACGATAATGAAAAATCAATTTTATATGAGAACGAATTTTAGCCAACATATCCACAAAATGAGTATTTTGTATGGATTTGAATGAACTTTGAATGAGTAAGATGTTGTTTCTAGATTTAAACACATGCATAATTTATTCATTTGTAAAGAAAAAAAATATATAATTCAAATAAAATCAAATTATTATTTAATTAAAAAATATGCACCATTCATGTTTGCTAGTGACAATGGAGATGATTTGTAGTAATGATGATGGTGATGATTGGTATTAATGAGTATCAATAGACTAATGGTGATGGTGATAGTTATGACAGTGGAGGTGGTTGGTGTTGTAGTAACTGGTGTGATGGTGGCGATTGGTAGTGGTGATGGTGAAGTTGGTTGATATTAATATTTGGTGGTGGCTAAAGAACGTGTGATGCTCCACAATATGTTAGTGGTAATTTGTGGCAGTGCTAGTTGTGATGCATGATGGGTGATTGATGGTAGAGATTGACCGCAATGATGATAGTGGCGGTGGATGCGGTGATGACAGTTGATATAATTATAAAAATTGAGATGGTAAGTGTACTAGCGAATGAAAGTTGTAGTTGACATCAGTGGTGGTGTTTAACGATGGTAATGATGATGATGATTGCGATGACAGAATTGGTTATTGGTGGAAGCTAGTGATCATATAGATAGAGTGATTGTGAAAATTATGCACAAAAATATATCTCAATGATATTAAGACTTTGTTCAAGATCCAAATGATTAAGAGATATTCAAATCAAATACTAGTGCTTAAATCTTAATACGAACAAATGCACTTAATAGACCGAAGTTCTGAACCATTCCGATTCCTACCTAACGCAAACAAATGAGGATGTATGGCTTTACACAGTATTATAATAGTTATGCCTTTAGTGTTTGTAATGTTAGTGTTCTGATCTGTCTTTGGAAAATCCAACTTTGCTGCTATAGTTGACCTATCCTTTTCTGCTGCCGGCACAAATGCATAATATAATACTACTATATTTTTTGGTTGTATGTTCTTTTTCTTGCCAATGTTACTTAACTTTCATATGTTTAATCTTTTATCTTTGCTATTTTAAAAGCCTCCTGTGGTTGAGGAAGATGATGTGGTGGGCTTTGACGATGAGGCGCAGATGGTAATCGACCGTCTTCTTAAAGGATCAGGTGATTTAGAGGTTATTACAGTTGTTGGAATGCCTGGTCTTGGCAAAACTACACTAGCCACTAAGATCTTCAAGCATCCAAAGATTGAGTACGAGTTCTTTACTCGACTTTGGCTTTATGTTTCCCAATCATACAAGACAAGAGAATTATATCTTAACATCATCAGTAAGTTAACCGGAAACACCAAGCATTGCCGTCATATGTCTGAAAGGGATTTAGCTCTTAAAGTAAGAGAGATTTTGGAAGAAGGAGGAAAATACTTGATTGTCTTAGATGATGTCTGGTCGACAGATGCTTGGGATCGTATCAAGATTGCTTTCCCGAAAAATGACAAGGACAATAGAGTATTGTTGACTACTCGAGATCACAATGTCGCAAGATATTGCAATAGGAGTCCACATGATTTAAAATTTCTGACTGATGAAGAAAGTTGGATTTTACTGGAGAAAAGAGCTTTACACAAAGCTAAATGTCCCCCCGAATTGGAAACAAATGGAAAAAGCATAGCCAGGAAGTGTAAAGGACTACCCCTTGCTATTGTGGTGATTGCAGGAGCTCTAATTGGGAAAGGCAAGACAATACAGGAATGGGAGCAAGTGGATCAGAGTGTGGGCGAACATTTTATAAATAGAGATCAGCCAAATAAATTGGTGCGGATGAGTTATGATGTTTTGCCTTATGACTGGAAAACTTGCTTTATATATTTTGGTATATTCCCCAGAGGCTATTTAATCCCTGCCAGGAAATTGATCCGCTTATGGATCGCGGAAGGGTTCATCCAGTACAGAGGGAATTTATCCCTTGAGTGTAAAGCAGAGAATTACTTGAATGAACTCGTGAATAGAAATTTAGTGATGGTAATGCAAAGGACGCTTGATGGACAAATCAAAACTTGTCGTGTTCATGACATGTTGTATGAGTTTTGCTGGCAAGAGGCCACGACAGAGGAAAATCTTTTCCATGAAGTAAAATTCGATGGTGAGCAATCTGTTCATGAAGTATCCACTCACCGTCGCTTGTGCATTCATTCCTCTGTTGTGGAATTCATTTCTAAGAAGCCCTCTGGTGAGCATGTTAGGTCATTCCTATGTTTTTCTCCAGAAAAAATTGACACTCCTCCAACTGTCAGTGCAAACATATCAAAAGCCTTTCCATTGCTAAGAGTGTTTGATACTGAATCCATCAAAATCAATCGCTTTTGCAAGGAGTTCTTTCAATTGTATCATCTGAGGTATATTGCTTTCTCACTTGACTCGATTAAATTCCTTCCGAAACATGTTGGGGAACTTTGGAACGTACAAACCCTCATTGTCAACACACAACAGATCAACTTTGATATTCAAGCAGACATATTGAACATGCCCCGGCTAAGGCATCTGCACACCAACACGTCTGCTAAATTGCCTACGCCTGCTAACCCCAAAACAAGTAAGACTACCTTGGTAAATCAAAGCCTGCAAACCCTCTCCACAATTGCACCAGAAAGCTGCACTGAGTATGTTCTCTCGAGAGCTCCGAACTTGAAAAAACTGGGCATTCGTGGAAAAATAGCTAAGCTAATGGAACCAAGTCGGTCCATATTGTTCAACAATGTTAAGAGGCTGCAATTTCTTGAGAACTTGAAGCTGATAAATGTTGGTCAGACTGATCAGACACAATTACGCCTTCCTCCAGCATCTCTATTTCCAACTAAGTTGAGGAGGCTGACTTTATCAGACACCTGGTTGGAGTGGGATGATATGTCTGTATTGAAACAGTTGGAGTACCTTCAAGTCTTGAAGCTGAAAGACAATGCATTTAAAGGAGAGCACTGGGAACTAAATGATGGAGGTTTTCCTTTCCTAGAAGTGTTATGCATTGAAAGGGCAAACTTAGTTTCTTGGAATGCTTCCGGTGATCACTTCCCGAGACTTAAACATCTTCACATATCATGTGATAAACTTGAGAAGATCCCCATTGGCCTGGCCGATATACGCAGCCTCCAAGTGATGGATTTGCAAAATTCCACCAAATCAGCAGCAAAATCTGCCCGAGAGATACAAGCCAAAAAAAACAAGCTGCAAACTGCTAAATCCCAGAAGTTCGAGCTTTCTGTATTCCCTCCTGATTCTGATGTACAGACAGCTTCTTAGAAAGGTTAGTTAAATCTTCCCTTAACATCAATCTCTTTGATTTGTGCTTCGTATTCCAAAAGTAATGTTTAATTATCTGCTATCTCCCCTTTCCCAAGGAGCCTATAACTTGTTAAAATACTAGCCAGTAGCATGAGATAGGAGCATCCAGTAACAATTTACACATCATTTGGAATAGTAATCGTAATATCAAATCGTGGTGATAAGCTTATGCATGTTTTCTCCATTTGCTATGACAGATGCTAGTGAAATTACCTATGGATTTTCGGTTGCATTTAGTAATTATCTCACCTTATGGCTTTTGATAAAACTTCAATTGGTAGTAACATGTTCCTCCATTTTTCTTGGTGAGTTTCATATTTTTTTTCCATTGTGACCTACTCGTCAACAACTTACACCATGCTATTGGTACAGGTCTAAAATAATCGCATGCTGCTGGTTCAACCAGCCTGGTTGGCGCGCATGGTTTTTGCTTCATTTGGCTCACTGCTCAAACAGCGAAGCCAATTGCATTTCATAAGTGGAACGACTGATCCACAGTTTTGTAACTCTTTGGTTTCTTACTGTATTTGATGTGTGTTCATGTTTTATTGATTGTGGCTGTAATGTGCCATCGTAGCCGAGGAATAAGAACCAAATGTAACGTTCAAGAAATCTCAGACATTGATACTTATAAGTTATACCACTCTGAATTTTCTCCATTCAGATACAACAACAGAACAATAGTCACTTGTTCTGATTCATACACAATTTGATCATGTTTTATTATTTAAACAGCACTTCTGGTTCTTCAAAGATTGTTTTTTTTCTCTATACTGTCATCTATAACTAGAGGCATTTGATTGTGGGGGGGTAAGGTTTGCGTGTACACCACCCTCCTCATATCTCACTTTTGGGGATTACACTAGGTATGTTCTTGTTGTATCGTGTAAACATCTCAACTGCTTACCTCTAAGTAGAATATCAAAATTAAAAAAATGACTTGGTACATTGTTTACAAGAAATAATCAATTCTAGAAAATACTTCAAAACATTTAGTTTCATCATTCATCAAATTGCTTCTTTCAGCATAGTCTATGTTTATTACAAAATTCAAGTTCATTCATCTGAACAAGCTATATCAAATTCCATAAATAGAAGTGTATTTTAAAACTGAAGGCAAAAAACAGGCGCGTTTTCTTTAATTTTCCTATGAGTACAGTAGCTTTTAGGGAAACAAATCCATCTTGACTAATGTTTCCCAAAAATTATAATTGCTTTAGACTTCTGAGTTATTGTATATACGCTTCATTTCTGGATTTCCTTATAAAGCTTTTCTTACATTTTATGTTCGATAATATTTATAAAAAAATGTTGGATAACATATCTTGAGGATGATAGTCGATAAGAGAATCCAACATTTAAAAGGTGTCACCTAGTGATCAATGAAGTGGATTACATTTGCCAAAAACCTCTATTGATTCCACATTGTTTGACAAGACGGCTTAGCATGCACACATCTTATCTCCTTAGCTTTTAGGGGTCGTTTGGTTTGGAAACAAGTTATGATGAGATTAGTTATGCTCAGATTAGTTATGATAGGATAAGTTATGCTGAGATTCTTTTTTATTGGGTGTTTGGTTTGTATACAAATAATATGTATTGCATAAATTTTAAGAACAAGTTGTTTGTTTACAAAATTACCCTTCACTTTATTTAGTTTTTTGTAGTTTCTTTGCAAGCTTTAATTATTCATTTTTTTAGAAAAATAAAACTTGCATCTTATTTAGCTTAAATATTTTTGTGTGTGCATTCCTACCATGGTACTGTATGTATTTAAAAATATTTTTTTTTTCTTATTTAGCTTAAAAATAGAATTTTCATCTTGAGTTTGTTAAAGTAGAAGAGGATTTGTAACCGTGTTTTCAAAAACGTTTTTGGGGCGAGTCTCGGGGCGAGGCGTAAATTAAAGACGTGGATCCATAAGGCGCAAGTCCTAAAATTTGAGGCATATTCCCCGAGCATAAAAACGTAAGTCTTGGGGGTAAAAACGTACGCTCGGGCATTTTTAATTTATTTTTTTAACCTTTTTTGCTTTAAATCATATTCTTATTATTGGTGTAATGATATTTCTCAAATAGTAATTATAATACATTTTATCTTCATTATTGATTTTTAATACTTATCTCAAATAAAAATCATAAATCATTGAAAGGTTTACTTTTATTTATTTTATTAGTAATAAAACTATAAAATTATTCTTTACGTATATAATGAAAAAGGGGTAAGAAATGAGGATGAGCAACACTACGTCAACTTGTTGTGAGATTCAACAATAAAAAGTTTAAAAACAATTATTTCTTACCGAGCAAGATTCAATGAATCTGGTTAGAAAATACAAAAAGATATCGCCAAATTTAAATATTACAAAGTACTCCCTCCATTTCAGTTTATTGGTCCTTACATTTATTTATTTTTACTCGTCCATTTTAACAAACTAGTTTTATTGCACGTGCGTTGCACATGAATGCCAAATTATGTAGTATACTACTTTTTAAAATAATGTCAATATTATTAAATCAAAAATTTAAATAAACGAATTTAAATATATTCAAAGTTATGAATAACATGTTCAATTAGTCTAGAAAAATTTATCCCATAATTTTAGAATTTCTTGAGTCAAAATCAATCTCGATAAACTTCCACCCCTTGGATCAACAGTTTGAAATTTGAAATTGATTGCATAATTGTGTTACTTATAAGGAAAAGGTTGAAGTTTCCCCTAGACTATGACCGAAATCTCAGAGACACACATAACTAAACTAAGGTCCTATTACTCCCCTAGCCCATCTTTTTTTGTAATTTTGTGCACCTTTTTGGCTTACATGGCATCCAAATATCTTTCACGCGATTCAATTGCGTGGAGTCACGGAGTGTGCCACGCGCGTAAGACAAAAGGTGTACAAAATAACAAAAAAAAAAAAAAGCTCAGGGGGATTTCGGTCATAGTCTAGGGGGTACTTGTGACTTATCCCTTACTTATAAGCTATGTAGTCCAATTTGATAATCAAAATTAGATTTTGATATCGTTTGCTAGGTCAAATTAATAATTTTTCAATTCTATATTTATAAGGTCTAAACCTAAGCCCTTAAAATCACTAGTTTTCACGATCCAAATCCTACCAAAAAGTGTATAATCTCATTAAATGTTTAGAGAATTAGTACCTAGAATATTAGATTGAAATTTCAACAATTTGAATTTAAAACCGAGAGTTTTTCCTCAAAAACTTTATTAAATGGATGTTTTTTTTATATATACTTATGAAACTTGATATTTTAATATTAATTGTATAGTCACAATTGAGGAACCTAACATATATGAAAAAACCTTAGCACATGCAAAACCTTAGCTGGTCACCTCTCTTTTTGTGACTTGGACTCTCACAATAGCAGAAAGTTAGCATTGACTGACTTTCGCCTTTGTGGAGGCTAGGTCTGGTCCCCCTCTTTACGAATGCGACCCTCTAGGCCACACTGTGACACATCAACTGATAGAAATTTTAATATCTGTGTTAAATTTTTTACTAAAGTCCCAAATAATCACCATATTATTATATATCATATATTATCATCATATTTATTTATATATTATTTTTTATTTTCTTTGAACAGTTTACATTCTGTATTTAATTTCTGCTTTAGAACTTAGGCAACAAAAAAAAGAAAATAAAAAAAAGAGAGAGAGAGAACTTAATCCACTTGCATCAAGTTGAAATTGTAAAGAAGACAGTTGACATCTTTCAAATTATTACTTTTAAAATGCTAATAGGTAATAGTTAATACCAAATTCAGAAAAGGACGCAAGTAAACAAAGAGGAAACAGCAAGGCAATAATAATTTTATGGAAGTCAACTTTCCAAAATGCAAAATCTTAATTTTATTTGCAAACAAACTGCCTATTTTGCACATAATATTTTCTTTCGTTCTCCAAAAAATCAATCGAAAAAAAAGAGAGAAAGGAAAACAATATGGTTGATGTGGGGGTGGAATTTCTGTTAGAGAACTTGAAGCAATTGGTGCTGGACAATGTGGAGTTAATCGGAGGAGTTAAAGATGAAATCGAGAATCTGCATGATGATTTGGAGAAATTCAAGGCCTTTCTTAAGGAAGCTGCAATGGTCCGCAGCGAAAACTTAGTTCTGAAAGAATTAGTGAAGAGTATCAAAAAAGTGGTGAATCATGCTGAAGATGCTATTGATAAATTTGTAATCGAAGCTAAGAATCATAAGGATAAAGGGTTTAAAGCGGTTTTTCATAAACCTGCACATTATAAAAGAGTGAGGGAGGCCGCTGTGGAGATTAAAGGTATAAGAGATAGAATGAGAGAAATTCAGCAAAATAACGCACATGACCTTCAGGCACTTCAAGTTCATGATGATTCACTCAACAGTGGGGAAGAGAGACAGGTATTGCTTCAAGTCCTTGATTTCGACAAAATTCGCTCATGAAAATATAAGGATCCGGTCAGCACGCCCATATTTGTGTGTGGGTTTATTTATTAATTTGATCCGACTAGTTCAGATCATCTAAAAGTTGAAACCAAATTGACCATGAGAAACCTTATCAGTTTTTGTTTGATATGTTATATATAGCTAAATTAATAAAGATTTTTTTATTAGATACTTAAAGAAATTAAAACTTAGTAAGTATGAGAGAACTTACCTGTTCGGTATCAAAAATTTTGAGCATTTAACCCAAAACCTTGAGGCAATGAGTGGAGTAGTATCCTTAGTGGCTGAATTCAACCGAACTCAATAGCTTTTGTTTAAACTGTGTATTCATATTGAATATATCATTAAATATATGTGCATATTAAATTAGTTACTACGTGTTAGCCTTTTGAAGTTACCTTTTTAAAATCTAGAATACATAAAGTTGAAATCTTAGTTCGAATGAAGGTGAGCGAGCGTAGATGACAATGTAGTGCTTAAAGATAGACAATTCAGACATGCTCTGCAGCCCTGCAAGTACTTTGAGACAGGAAGATACCTAACAAAGTAAAAGAAAAGTTCATAGAACGATAGTGAAATATCAATTTTATATGAGAACGAATTTTAGCCAACATATCCACAAAATGAGTATTTTGTTTGGATTTGAATGAACCTTTGAATGATTAAGATATGTTTCTAGATTTAAACACATGCATAATTTATTCATTTGTAAAGAAAAGAAATATATAATTTAAATAAAATCAAATTATTACTTAATTAAAAAAAATGCACCATTCATGTTTGATAATATTGGAGATGATTTGTAGTGATGATGGTGGTAATGATTGGTATTAGTGAGTATCAATAGACTATGGTGATGGTGATAGTTATGATGGTGGAGGTGGTTGGTGTTGTAGTAACTGGTGTAATGGTGGGAGTGGTAGTGGTAATGGTGAAGTTGGTTGATATTATTTTTTGGTGGTGGCTAAAGAATGTGTGATGCTCCACAATATGTTAGTGGTAATTTGTGGCGGTGCTAGTTGTGATGCATGATGGGTGATTGATAGTAGAGATTAACTGCAATGATGATAGTGGCGGTGGAGGCGGTGATGACAGTTGATATAATTATAATAATTGAGATGGTAAGTGTACTAGCGAATGAAAGTTGTAGTTGACATCAGTGGTGGTGTTTGATGATGATTGCGATGACAGAATTGGTTATTGGTGGTAGCTAGTGATCATATAGATAGAGTGATTGTGAAAATTATCACACAAAAATATATCTCAATGATATTAAGATTTCGTTCAAG